TATGTTCCATGCACTATTTGGGACATATTTATGCTATAAAATTATTCTTTTCTGATCTGGAAATTCATATTTAATGGGGCATCCTGTATTCCCATTTTTATTTGCTAAATCTGGCACCCCTATTCCTGAGATTACGTCTGAAAACATGGTTAGAATTTCTGTCATCTCTGCAACGCAAAGAGAGTATCAAGCTGCATAATGCTGGCAGAACTCCATTTGGGGGACTTCTTTGGGAGCTGAGGAATGGGGTGGGCCTAGAATGAAAAGACTGATGGTGCTCTGGTGGGAACTTGTAGCTCCGGGAGGAAAGGGTGGGTGGCTGGAAACACGGCAGGGTCCTGGGTGGGTACCTCTCTGGTCTCTTTCATAATCTGTAATTATCGATTGACTGACTGATTGGTTGTCTATTTTGTGCCAGACCCAGGGCCTGATGGGAATTAGGAATGTAATGGAGACCAAGACTTTCTTGCCCTCAAAGAGCTTGAAGTCTAGCAGGAGAGATACATATTTAACAAAACAATTACACAAATACATTAGAGTCGCATGTTATGTTACCATAAATATAATAGAGTCATGCCCTTGGGATGTTTTTCAAGGGCCTCTGAGTATCTTCCCAGTGCAAACAGAAGAAACTCGGCCATTTCTTTGTAAAAGTGATCAGTGTGGATGTGTTTTTCAACCTTTTTCTCATTATCAGCCCCCTACCATGATGCCTTTTTAGACATCCCCCATCCCCCTTCCTGCATGAAATTTTAATGTAACAAATACATTGTGTATCTGCTTATGGACTGTAGTCCTTTGAAGGGTTACAGACCACGTTAATATCTAATGTTTTATAATCTCCCTCCCCAGAACAAGGGCAGTATCACCCCTGGCTCTTCCCCCCTTCAGAGGTGGTATTTCGTTGTTGAGAAGGGTGGTGTAGACATTTCCATATATCCATGCTTGCTGGGTGGAATAGCTTGGGGATTGGGGAGACCTTGATTTGTTGGAAACGGTGTAGTCTAGAGTCACTATCAGTGCCTGGATTCAACCGTCAGCTCTGCCCCCTCACGGGTGTGACCATGGGCAAGTTACTTAACCACCAAGCACCTCCATTTCCCTGTCTGTAAAATGGACATAATAATCAGTTCCTTCCTCATAGGACTATTGTTAGAACAATTCAGTGCTTAGAACAGCGCCTGGCCCTGTAACTTGTTACTGTTATTATTAAATCAAAGTTTAAAGTTGAAAATTATGTCTCGAAGAGGCAACGATGGTCCCGGGAGACTAGGCTGAGACAGACAGACAGACAGACAGAGAGGAGGCCATGTGGTAAAAGCAGCCAAGTATGTAATACATCAGGTGAACTGGAGCTGTCCCAGAGAAATTCTAGAACTTCAGAGTCTGGGGGGGCTTTTTTTGTTGCCCCCATGTGACCCTGGGAGAGTGAGCTGAGCACTTATCAAGGGGCTTCCTTCAGCTGGGAAAATTAGCGCAGCCTCCAGAGAGTATAAAAAACCAAGCAATGTGGGATCGCTAAGCAACTGAGCCCTTCCTGCAGTGATGTGGGCAGGATTAATGATCAGCTTAAAACGACCAGAACCTTCCTTAGAGGCGGAGATGAGGGCACCCTGAGGCCTGGGGTTCTTGATCTAAACTGGGCCTCTGAGCAAATGGGGATCCTCCCAGGGAAGCAGGATGAGAGGCAGATGTTGGCGGCAGCCCCTCTTGACCACCCCTTGCTCGGATCCTTGCCCCTGCCCTCTTGCCCGAGGACCGCAGAGCAGCCGTTCCCTGTGCGTGGAGCTTCCTCCCTCCCCGGGTAATTTCCAGCCGCCCTTCGGATCAAAGCACGGCCATCCCTTTCTCAGTAAGACCTTCGCTGATTGTCATGAGTGGATCCGATTCCCTGATTTAGATTTTCTTGTGATGGGAGTGGGGTAGCACCAAATCCCCTCACCCCTCAGTAGTGCTTATTACAGTTGAAATAATTCCACTTTGTCTGTGGAATTATTTGTTTCGTTTCGTTCTCTCTGTGAGGACGTGTAACCCCAGCACTTAGTACATATCACGGCTCATACAAGGCACTCAGTGTGGTTTTTAATGAATAAATAATACTTATTTCCTTTTTCTTTTTTTTTTTCTTTTTTTTTCCTTTTTTTTTGAGACAGAGTCTCACTCTGTTGCCCGGGCTAGAGTGCCGTGGCGTCTAGCTCACAGCAACCTCAAACTCCTGGGCTCAAGCAATCCTCCTGCCTCAGCCTCCCGAGTAGCTGGGACTACAGGCTCGTGCCACGATGCTTGGCTAATTTTTCTATTTTTAGTAGAAACAGGGTCTTGCTCTCGCTCAGGCTGGTCTCGAACTCCTGACCTCAAGCAATCCTCTCGCCTCAGTCTCCCAGAGTGCTAGGATTACAGGCGTGAACTACCACATCCAGCCCAATACTTATATATTCTGAAAAAGAAAGCAAGCTACTTTAGTGTGTATGTGTGTGTTGGGGGTGGGGGATTACTTCCCCTTTAACTAGTTCCCTTTAATTTAATTACCACTTGGAGCTAAAATAACACCAGGTGTCCAACACTATTTGGAACACTCGTAACGGAGAATCTTATGAGCTTGGCCATTTTGACTTCACTGTCTATAAAATGCAGCATTTATTTTAAATTCTACTGATTGGTAGTTTTGTACACTTTTAAATGGAACTGGGATTATTCCAGGAACAACTATCGCAAAAGCTATAAGATAAAGTATACTTTATCTTGATTTGAACTTAGAATCTGCTCAATATGTGACTCCCTCTTAGTACCAAAAACCACTCAGCAGAGATGACGCTGTGTCTTGCATCAAGTAGTGAAATTCACGCTATTTGCAAACACCCTTTGGAGAGGCGACGTACTGCAGCCATGAGCGATGGGCAGGAGCCACAGTCCAGATCTGAGCCAGGTTGTGCCCTTTGCTTAGTGTGGAGCAGATTAGGAGCCTCGGTTTCCCCATCCATGAACATTCGAGCATTGGACAGCATGGTCTTTACGACTCTTTCTAGCATCAAAAATACTGTGGAAGTTCCCGAATTTGTCCACATCTCATTTTTACTTCAGGATCTTTTTTCCTTTTAGTCAGAAAGCATAGTCAAAAATATGACACCCCGGGGAATTTAAAGGGATTGAGTCACCAGCCCCTGGAGCAAACATCTTAAAACAAGGTGCTTGGGATGAAGAGTTTAGGTCAGATGAACCTGGTGGTAACATTTTTAATGCCAGTATTCACTCATGTCGAGATACACTGGCCCTATAATTCTCCCAACTCTTCCTTTATCCCATGATTCAGTCAGGGGGTGGCAGAGTATAGAAATTGCCACCCCCTCACTGAAGAAATCCAGTGTTTTGAAATTGGGCTTCAGTGCAACCACCAGGGAGAGCGAGAGAAAGGAAAGGAGAGAGAGAGAGAAAGAGAGAGACGGAGAGAGGAGAGGAAAGGAGGAGGAAGAGAAGGAAGGGGTGAGAGAGAGAGAGGGCAAGAGGAAACAGAACGAATGAATAGCATTTGATGAAGCTGTCGCTGTGGAGTGGGACGGCTACATGTAAACGTGAAGAAACGGGGTTTGTGGGTACTCTTCCAGTTCAAAACCCCTTCCCCAAGTTCCATTCGAGCTGCCTTCTACTTACTTTATAGCCTGGATCAGTGATTCCCCCAAAGTGGAGTGTGGGAGAAAAATTCCATAACTTCTATTGTAATTGTATTTTAACACTTCTTTAATTTCTAATTTGGATTAATAAAGCAATACGTGTTTATAATATACAAATAAATAAATGCATGGATTGGGGGTGCATGCTCAACGTGTTTTTACTGATAGGGACTTGACCAAACCATTTGGAGAGTGACAGCCTAGGGGAGCACTCTGCTTCTAACAGCAAAGTCCTCCTGCCGTCGCCTTGATTCCTAATGAGCTACTCGCATGAGCATAAGTAATAAAGCGTCTATATTTATTTTGTTCCAAAAGGAAAATATCTTGGCTTTTTCCAGGATCTTAACATAAATCCACATTCACAGTAGAAATGTGGAAAATACAGAAAATTATAAAGAAGAAAATTATTAACATCATGCATAACCCCAGCCCATATTTATTTTTTTTAAAAGATCTTTCACTTTTGAAATCTTGAGACCATTTTGAATGTTTTTAACTCTCTAGGGTGCTGAAAAGTCACCCACCCCTTCGGCCGACCGTAAGTCAGACAAAGCCAACTTTACACCCCAGGAGACCCACGGGGCGGCCAAGAACCCCAAGGGCAGCAACCCATCAGGTCACGTGCAATCTGGGACGTCCACTGAGACGGTGAAGGACGGTGCCAAGGAGAAATCGGGACCCACCTCTCTGCCACTGGGCAAACTGTTTTGGAAAAAGGTAAGTCTGATTTTCAAGATCTAGAGAGTCCTTGGGGCTGGGATGACTTGCGAAGTTATTTCTGTTGGGCCAATCGCTGTACCCAACAATGTATGGAGAGTTTTTTAATTCCCCTTTCTTCTTCTTCTTCTTCTTCTTCAAAATGACTCAATTTACCAATGAATTAAAGCCTTCTTTTAATGTACTCTGGGGAAATGAAATGCCTATCGTGTTACAAACATGTGTTCGTGGGGAAGAAAAGGAAATGAACAAGTAGAATTTTTCATTCTTTGAATGACTCCGATGCGTGAGGCAGGGTTGTGGTATTTCATGATTTCATTTTCCTTCTAAAAGGGTTTGTGACTTTGGCTGCCTCCTGGTTTTCTATGAGCACTCTCGCCCTGGCAAGATGACCCTCCTCGGGGCTCTCTGTCTTTGCTTCTCCCCAGCCAGAGAGAATCAGTCATGGTGAACCCCTAGGTCCTCACTCTCCTCTTAGAAAACCAGGGCGTCCACCCGTTTGCCTCCAGGGCAAGCACGCACTGTGTCCTGCGACAGGAAGATTCGAATCACTGTCTTCTATTCCCCGCCCCCAATCTAGAATTGCAGTACCTGAGGGATGTGGTGAGCAAGGAGATGGTGGGTGGGGCTGAGCACTTCTGCGAGCTCTTCCTTAATCATCACTGGAGCAAGCCCCAGCCGCCACACGTGTTCAGAGCTCTCGCCTGTTTTAAATTTGGCCGAACGATGAGCAAGAAGGCAGGGATGAGGGGGTGGGTATAATTCACAGAGCTGGAAAAATCTAACTCAGTAATTTCATCAAAACACCCATGCCGCTTGGCACTCCACGCAAAGCAGATGATAAATTCAGATGCCGCTGTGGTGTCGGCTTCAGTCTCTTGTCCACAGTCCAGCTGGATTTCTCAGCCTCTTTCCTGTTTGCTCCTGTTGTACCGAAATCTCCCTTCTCGCTTATTCCCAGAACACAAACACCAATATTTCACGAAAACTTTGAATGATGTCCGTTGACATTTCTGTTCTAATCCTCCTCCTTCCCCCACCCACTATGACTTATCTTAAAATATCTTTTATTATTACCAGCGATACAACGTAGGGAACAATTTCCAAGTGCATGTGTGTATATTAGTGGCAAGGAAGATGCTTTAAGTGACTCCTCTTTGAACACTTTGTTTATTCAAAGTGTATTAGAAAAATAGAGCTAGCACATTAAACTTGAGATTTAATATATATATTGCTCAAGGTAAGACTCAGTGTATTTAGTTTAAAAAGGAATCTAATTAAAAGGAAAGTGTTACATGAATAATGGCACTGATATTAAATGATGGTAAATGTGGGTCCTCCAAGAAGCAGACAGCAAGACGGAATTGACATGCAAGGGATCTATGGGAGGAAGCTTCCTGTGAAGGATAAAGGAGGGGGAAGGGGGGAGTAGAGAGAGCCTTCAGACCACAGGGCGGGTCTCACATCTGAGAAGGGAGCGAGAGAAGGAAGGAAGAGGCTCAAAAGAGCCTCAGACTCAGAGTCGTGCGAGAAAGCCTTGGCCAAGCCAACGGGGGCTCTTAGAGTACGGACTGTCCCTTCCGGGAGTTTCATGCTGTACAGGAACGAAGGACCTTGTGCCTCTACCGTGCTCGGTCGCTGGCAGGAGCCACCAGGGAGAGCAGGGCCTCAGCAAGAACACTGCGGTGGCAGCTGAAGGCATGGCAGGTGGGGGGCTGTCCCTGTCAGGAAGTCTGAGCCACACACTCCACGGCTGCCAGAGATGACACGTAACATACAGCAAAAACCGCAGGGACAGTCAGCCAGTGACTAAAGTCTGAGGAATACTGATGTAAGCATTAAAAGTCAGGTCTCAGTTCAACACTATAAGCCTCAGTTTCCTCATTTGTAAAATGCAAATAATAATACCACCTACATCATGGAAATGAAGTAAGAATGAAATGAAATAATGCGGGTGAAACAACACCACGTGTATCACTAAAGTGCCCAGTGAACTGTCGCTGTTACCTCTGTCGTTTGTTTCGTCTGTGCTCAGGAGGGTTGGGGAGCTCACCACGTCAACTGCTTCGTCTTTGGGTGCTGTGCAGTTTGGTAGAGCTGCTAAGCTATCGCCTCTGGGGCTTATTTGATGTTTCGAATCTGTAAGGCACACAGTGGTTCCTCTTTGGAGTTCAAGCTATTTCCACAGAAAATGAAAGTCAGGACAACTTGACATTCATGCCCCTAATGGTAGAATTTCATTTATTTCAGTCTCACTGTCTTTTGCACCATTATTCAGCTTTATTTCTTTAGTAGATTATTAAAATCATGAAGTTAAGAGAAACTAAAAACCAAATCACCTGTGTCTCCTTCGTGCACCCAATCAGAAAGAAAAGCTTTATAGGGAAGTAAAATATGGAAGTCTCATCCATTCAACAATATTTTAATCACTTTTTTTGTGCTAACTTTTTTGTGCTAAGTACTAAGGATTGAAAAACTAGCCATGAACAAATGCTTTCCCTTTTCCAGCTTACATTCTTGTGGAGAAGCTTATATTCTAGTAGAAAGTGAAATGAGGACCTTTGTTTTCTTGTCTTTAAATTAGAAAGGCTGTGGTTATAAAATCATCCTTGTAAAAATTTTGAAAAATACAATGGGAAAAAGCTGGGAAATTCTTATATTTTCACTGATAACTAACCCTAACCTCTCTTTGTCCTTCCCTCTCTTTTAATTGAGAAGCTTTTAAACAAATTAATTTCAAAGTTTATAAGTCTATAGATACAAACATCAGAAATGAATTTTTCCCATAACAGGCTATGGATATGAAAGTATAAGTTATTTTAATTTATAGTCTTGACTGCTGAAATACTTCTTATTATAAAACACAAACAAAAATAACCTTTGAGGAAATTAATTTCAAATTATATTGTACTTCTCCCACGTGTAAAATGTGTAAAAGCCAGTTACCTGGGGTAAAAATGCCCTTTATTGTTCTGGGTTAACTGGCTTGCCACTTGCTCTGTGACCTTACATCAGTTATTTGCCCTTTTTGTGTTTCTTTTTCCTCATCTATTGAATGAGAGGGTTGGGATATGTAATCTTGATAATTCTTGTATATGGTAAAGTCTTGCATAACAGAATCGAAAAGATTGGGCTGTGTAACCCTGGCCAAGTTGCTTGACCACTCAGAGACCCTATTTTCTTATCTGTAAATTAAGGACCATGTTTATCTCACAGGGTTGTTGTGTAAAACCAATAATTGTACATATAGAGCACCTGAGACATAGTAAGTGCTCAATGCATGACGTCATTATCATTTCTTCAAGTATGAACAATCAGTCAATCAGTGGTCATGACTGATTGACCTCATGTGTGGCTTCTGGTGCCAACACCTTAAGTATAAAAAAGTATAAGACTCATTTCCTATCATCAAAAGACTTGAAATTCTTTTAGAGGACCATGATGTATGCACACACACACATGCTCATGTGTGTGCACATGTGCATATGTAATTAGTAAATATTATGTTTGGAATATCTTCAAAATAGCCCTTTTCCTGCTTTCCTTTGGGAGAGACAAATGGTACAGTGGGAAAATAGTGTGAGCTCTGAAGCCACAGAGACACACTATCAAATCTCAGTTCTCACAGTTACTGGCTGTTCGAATTTCACTGGATCACTTAAACCCTCGAGCCACAGTTTCCTCAGCTCTAAAACTGGCCAGTGATGTCTACCTTCCATGTTTATTGGGACGATTGAGTTAGAAAAAAAAAAAAAAAAAAAGAATGCCAAGTGACTGTTATTCAGTGGGGTATGGCCCTCTTCCAAAAAAATGAAGTTTGCAATTTTGTGTTATCTGTGGGGTACAGGTGACAAATGGTAGGGGTGTTTAAAAAAGAGAACAATCAGTGTAGATGAAAATAGAGAACTTAAAAATTCAACTGAATCATCTGGATCTTTTGTTTCAAATGCAAATCTTTACACCTCCCCATGAGGATTCTGGTTAAGAAAGTCTGGGCGTGTGGCGGGACGATTATGAAAGCACTCGAGAGAGAGGCTGAAAACTCCGAGATTGACAGAACAGGTCTTAGAGCTACTGAAATCAATGAACTGAAGAGCTGTCGCACGGTCACAATGTGCTTACAGAAGACCTGCTAGGAGCAGGACAAATGTTGGCTTAAATGATACCAGGTGGAAGTATTTTAAAGAAACTTTCTTTTAAGAATTGAATGTGCTCTTTAAAGCAAAGAAACTCTTATTGTTCCAGTGAATCCTGATAAGTTATATGCTGTTTAGAGCCTTATTCTTGGCAACGTAAATGTCCAAACAGGACCCTGTAGATGTTAAACTAGATTTTTATTGTTGTTGTCAATGAGGCTGAACTATTTTTAGATTCGCCAGATGATAGCCACATGTCCAGTTCACGGAAGAAGACTGGGAGTGTTTCTGGTTTTGAGATTTGAATGAATGTCTCACGCTCCGTAAGTTTCTCAGTTGTGCTGGGGAGTTTGAGGACCTAATAAATGCTTCTCAGTCTGCAGAGGTGAGACTTCGCTTTCAAACCATTCTGTTCTTCTCTCATTTACACCAAAGTGAGCTGCTTTATCACGAATTCCATCCAGTTTTTCTTCTTGTCTCTGCAACCCCCTTCCTGAATTTGTTCCCAATGTGGAAGAATGAAGTCATTTTTCCTCCTTGTCAGAGTTTATTCCCCACAACATACTCACTGGCAGCAGAGAGGAATGAATTAGAATCTAATACTTCTGGTTCCTCGGCTCATAGTCTTTCTGCTACGTGGAGAACGTACAGAGAAAAGGAAAAAGTTGCCTGAAGCCTTCATTTGTCATTATGTATTGAGGATGGAAACCAGCTTACATGTGAGATCCAGGCTTGGCACAAAGAACTGGTTCAGTGAGGACCCTCTAATACACCATCAGCTTTCAGCAAGAGCAGAGACACACCTCAAACCCCAAAGGGAAGTGTAACGTTAGAGTAGGGGTGAAAGTTTAATACATGTTGGAATAGAGGCCTAGAAATTAAGAAAAATCTGCTCCCATTTTAAATACTAACTTGGAATACTAATGGAAAGCAACTTAACCCACTGCCTGACAATAATTGCCCAATAGTAGCCTGATAATGTGAGTTGCTAATCATTATTATTTTTGTTAGTACTACCATGTTTTTTCAGCTCTGCACAGTTCATCTAATGCACACTATGATGGAGGGATACAAGCCCATAAAGAATATTTACTAAGGAACAAAACACATTGCAAGAAGCCGTCTTTGGAAATGCCACTGGAATCTGGCCTTGGCCCTGTATATTCAAACTTTTTATCAGCAACTTGGACAATGACCTAAAAAGCACAACTTATCAAGTTTATAAACTGGGTGGGCTGATTAATGCAGTCCAAAATGTAGATGATAAAGATCTCAAAATACCGGCACAATGGGCTGAAGTTAGTATGACCCAGAATTTTTGTTTTACAAAGGTCAATGTGCCTTTGTTGTATATTATATCATCAAGATCTTAACTGAGGCCCACCTCATCCCTACCCCATTCCAACTTTGGAACCTAAAATAACCTAAAAGCAGTGTTAAAGATGTCTGTTTGTAAGGGGTTCAGGAGCAAACACACATCTGGCCTAAGCAGACTTAAAGGCATTTCAAAAGCAGCTTAGAGTTAGTCGAGAGAAATCTTAAATAGGTCCACTAGACTTAGCCGGTGTCACTTCTTCCCAGCATTCATGAAAGGTGCTACTGTTAATTGAAAACATACCATGTGCAGGCACCGTGCTGGGGGCTTTACATATTCGAAGTCAATATCAGCAATTTTCATAGACCGATGGCCATAAATCCATGCCCGAATAGTTGTAGGAACCCAGGACAGGTGATCGTGAGTCATTCTGGGCTGCCCTATGTCCCTACTAGTTGATCATCCCCAAGCCATACCAGTGCCACCAGCAGATCCACCAAAGGGAAGGTCCATGCCAGTTCACCCTACCCATCACTGCTGTTGGGCCTCACAAGCCTGCCATAGTCACCTGCTTGGGCCCCAGAGTGACCCCATTTGGCAAGACCCACCCTTGGCATCCACACAGCCTTCTTTCTCCCCAGTACACACCTAATTCAAGGACAGCTGAGCTGGACTGATTTGCTCTACCAGCCACCAGCACCCTAACCAGAACTACTATTTCCCACTAGCCCTAGAGGTAGCCGATTCACCTGAAATTTCCACTGGTGAATTCTCTTTCTGGGGTCCATTTCTTGAAATGTTTGTTTCTGCTCCACTTCATCCACCTTGACTTATAGAAAAGGCTATAGACAATTGAATTCTAATTATAGACACGGTTCAAGTTGCTTTGCTCCTGCCCCCACCTCATGCCCCTATACACACACCTTCCAGGGTCTCCAACTCCCACATAAATGACGGTGTTTGTGTAACTACCAAGAGGAACTGCGTGGACTTGACTACAGCTGCCAGACTACACCTGCTCTGTTCCAGCCACGTCCAGCCATGATCTTCCCCACACATGCTGTGTTTTATTTTTACTTATAAGAACCCTATGTTTGCTAGATAGTCTAACAGTCAATCTTTGGGTAAGTGAACGGAGGCTCAGAGAGATGTGATTAATTGCCCCAAGTTAACCACTGAATTTGAACCTGACTTTACAATCCATGATGCTCTAGACATGAGTTCTGAGCATCAGGAAAGAATTTTTCTCTTACATGTGCCAAACACTAAAAGGGGACTAGAACCTGTCTTCTCATTATCCACTTTTGGGTCCTTTTATTAACTGGAGATTTCAACTGCTGACATGAAGTCTACACCTGTGGGCCAGTGAGCAAATATACGAAAAAGTTCAAAATGGTTTTGGATGGTTCTTGGATAAAGTCCTAAAAAAAATTAATCAGTTACATAGTAAAAAGCTATCTCCTTTTTCCATTCCACTCCAATTCTTTTGGCAACATTAAGAAGAAAGGGTCTTCTTGATATTAATAGGCATTTACCACTGTGCTAACACTTGCTGATATCTCTTCTTAACAATTCTGTTTTATTTGTTGCATTTGTTTTAATACATTCTCTTTACAGCAAGGATGTTGATATTACATTTACTGTAATAAGACCTTTTTAAAAAATATATTTGAGTAAAAAGTCAATTTAAAGAAAAATATCAAGTAAATACAGATGGTACAGGGACAGATCAAGAATTAGAAGAGGGTTTGAAAATCACTGAAGCCCAAGAGATGCTCAGATGGATGCATTCCCAAAGTAAGGGATGTTTAGTTGGGTAGTATGACTTTGAAAATAAAAAATAGCTATTTTCAGGGGAACAGGCAATATTTATAATGCTAATTTTGTAAACATCAGAAAGATCTAGAAATCTGAAACCATAATGAAGATCAAGGAAACAGAGGAATTAGTTCCTCTGTTCCTCACCATGCTCCCAGTTTCCTCTGGAATACAGAGAGCAATCAATGGCCAGGAACCTTCCGGACACAGGAAATCAAAGATAAAAACCAGTGTGGTTATAACCAACTGGGACAGGAAAGAGGATTTGAAAACCTAGGAGTGTTATTCTTAAATAGTGGGAGGGTTTTCTCAGTCTAAAGCAGACAGTGTATCGATTTCCTGAAATTTTTGTGGGCCAGGCTTGAGGAGGTCTGGCTTTAAAAATATCATTTGATTCTTTACTTCTTCATAGTATTACATAGTGTCCAACTGGTCTTGGAGAAAAGGGATGTAGTTCCAAGGAAGTAGCATTAGTTGCAGATTTATTTTTAATGCACTGTAATTTCCTGATTATTAGAAGCCTCCAGAAATGCCACAATTCTTGTCAGGGCCATTTTCGTGCCCAGAGAAACTTCGCTATGGGGAGAAGATAAATAGAGATAAATGGTCCAAGCTGAAGATCTCACCTAGAGAGACAGCAAGTCTGTAAGTAAAGAAAGTTCGCACAGTCACCAAAAACTGTGTATCTGGTCCTGAAGTCATCATAGCAGGGAATAAATCTGACTCTTAGAACCATTTCCACCATTTTCTACCTGTTCAACCAGAGCAAGTGACTTCACCTGTCTGTACCTGTTTCTTACTGTATAAATGAGGATCTCAATACTTACCATTTGGGGGGGACTGTAAGTGAGATAGTGTAGGCAAGGCACTCAGTGCAGAAGACGTATTTGTAAATATCACTTCCCTTCTTCCTCTCCCACTGGATGTTTTAAAGGGGGGAAAATGGTGGGACTTAGTAACAAAATGGATACAAGGAAGCATTCTTAACCTGGAATCCAAGAGAAGATATGCAGGTCTATGGACCCTGAAATTATTTTCAAAGTATTTTGTTTATGTTCATTTTTGGGGGGAGGAGAGTCCAGATCTATCAAGTGAGTCTCAAAGTGGTCAGTAATCACCACCATACACCCTAAAAGTTTAAGAACCATTGAAGAAAAAATGCAAAGATAACCTCTCAAGTTGGAGCTTGGCTAACTGATAGAACGATTATGGTATTGACCTTTGCAAGAATTGGGATCACTGCTCTCCTATTTGGGGCAGGATTGTATATGCCTGAATTACTCTAGGGCAGTGGTCCCCAACCTTTTTTGGCACCAGGGACAGGTTTCATGGAAGACAATTTTTCCATGGAAGGGTCGGGGGGAGGTGGAGCTCAGGCAGTGATGCTCAGCTGGTTCCTAATAGGCAGTGGACTGGTATCGGGCTGCAGCCCGGGGGTTGGGGATCACAGCTCTAGGGAATAGAACAGTGTTTGATTTGAGTGTGTTGGACTCCAGCTCTCTGGCCTTCCATGGTCATGTTTTAGCCAAATTGCCCTTTGACAAAATGAAACTGGCCCAGCCTGAGGGCCGCTGGCCATGCGGTGGTCCGGACAAGGCTAGGACCCTGCTTGTTGTATCTCAGTGCCTGCCTGTTCTGCAGTGACAAGGGAATGGACTTCTCTAGACCTATTACCAGAATTTTGTTTTTACCTAACAGTGGCTGTGCGTCGAGATAAATTGTATGTCCGTCTTTTCGTCGGCCGCTAGAAAATGTAATGGCAAATGTGTTGGTCACCTGCAGCCAACACCTCTCCCCTCTCCATTCGTATCTTGGCTGCTTCTGTGTGTTAATTTTGCCTTTGTTGCATTTTAAAATACATGATTTTTACATACTGCCTGCATTTTTGTGAGCCTCCTTGAAGTTCTTTTTGGAACAAGATCTGCACACTCAACTTAATGTCTAAGAATTGCACCATAGGGCTGTTAGCCCAACTAACCCTTTGGTTTTATGTAACATTTTTTTGTAACATCTTAACTCTCACTTTTGTTTTTATCTTCCTGTAGTCAGTTAAAGAGGACTCAGTCCCCACAGGTGCAGAGGAGAATGTAAGTTATGCATTAAATCACAGAATCATTCCACTCTCATCTTCTGCATGTCCAACCACGGGGCATTTTCAGCTCTGGGATTCTGTGTTCTTGCATGTTCCAAGTGTTATTCATCTGCTGTAGACTCTTTCACTCTGACACATGATTAGGGATTAATGGGGAATAACATTGCATAAGTTTTTGTAAGCTCCCATTAAATCAATGCAAAATAAATGCAAAATCAGAGCACATGTTTTTATGTTATCAGTTAGGGGCTGAAAGAGTCTACTAAGCATAGGAGCTTTGTACTTCCATAAGGGATAATGATGCTGCAACTTCTGCTTTGCTCTACCATGACTGATCCTTCACCCTTATCTCTATGGTGATCCAGCTTCTTACTAACTTTGGGTGGTACCCAGACAGGTGGTTGCATCAGGCATGAGAACATCTTGCAGCAATAGATGCTGAGACTATCACTCTCAGGCTGGCGAGCTGACTCTGTGGGTCTATACTTCAGACAGATAGGTTGAGCCTCACTGTCTTTCTGGCCTTTAATCTTCTACGGCAATATTGCCAAAATTTTTAAGACAGTATATTCATGTCTGAAGGGATGGTACTATATAAAACATCACAAAAATACATCTTTCCAAAACATTTTCCAGGGAGATTAATAAATTGACCTCATGAGTTTCAGACCCAAAACAGCAGCTCTCTGCCCTGAAAGTATAGTCTTTGAAAAATTTTATAAGTGGGGATAAGTGAATTCACAGCTGCTTAAGATAGAGATTGAACATTACCATTTTGCCAAAGCAAAGCATGTATAGCTTCTTCTTGTTTACTTGCCATGGATAGGGCCAGTGTTTGCATTTGTATTTAGTGACTGGAACTGAACAGGTGTTGAAAATTCAAACATGTTCCAGAAATGTTGTCCATGATGTGGAATGAAAATTAGTGTGGCTGTGTTACAATTCTTGTTAGGAGAAGAATCTTTGAACTCTATCTGTCATTTTTGTTGTTTTTCTTTTCTTTCCTTCCTTCCTTCCTTCCCCCTTTCTTATTTCCTTCCTCCTTTCCTCCCTCCCTTCCTTCATTCCTTTCTTGAGACAAACTTAGTAGCTCAGCAAAGGTCTGGTCTCTCATAATTCCAGAAAGTTCTTGTGAATTACTGGCTATTTTCAAGAGAGTCGAAGTCCCTATTTCAGCAATCTACAAGGAAGAAGTCCCTGAGTCTTATTCCTGTGAACTTTACATTTTAATGCTGCAGGTAAAATCTGGAGCATGAGTTAGCTCTGAGGTTCCAAGCTTTCTGAAGAAAAACTTTTTTGGATGTTGTATATAGTTGTTTGTCTGAGGAACCCTGTGCCTCCTGCAGCTCAAATGCTAAAATGCAGAGTTGATCTCTGACAGGCAAACAGAAGATATGTCATTTTCTAGTGTGAAATTTCAGACAGAAATATAAACATGAATTAAAAGTTAAATTATTGATACCAAAAGATAACATGAAAGCTGATAGGGACATAAAAGAAGGCAAAATGGTTTTTTAAAAAAAATAAAGAAGCATTATAAAATTTGCTTTAAGCCAAGCACAGTGGCACACCCCTGTAGTCCTAGCTACTTGGGACGCTGTGGTAGGAGGATTGCTTTAGCCCAGGAGTTCAAGACCAGCCTGGACAACATAGTGAAACCCCATCTCAAAAAAAAATTATTTTAAATACTTTTTTTTTTAAATTGCTTTAAAAATCGTTTAGCTCTACAAATGATATTTATCTTCTTAAGGTTCAAAATTTCATCTTCTAACAGCCTGTCACTTGGAGGGAATGAGGCTGCATAGTTGTGATTTTGACCCCATCCTCTCCAGACTATGCCACCTTTTGAACTTCAGTTCACTGTTAAATAGTGATAATATTATGTAGGCTTCATGATTCTTAGAAAATTAAATGAGATGATGCATCTAATGTGCTTAGCTTTGTGCCTAAAACATAAGAACTCAGTAATGTAGGGGTCAACAAATTATAGCCCATGGGCCAAATTTAGCCCACCACCTATTGTATATGGCCCACAAGCTAAGAATGATTTTAACATTCTTGAATGGCTGAAAAAAAATTGAAAAAAGAATATTCTGTGACAGACACATAACGATTATATAAAATTCAAATTTCAGTGTCTGTAAATAAAGTTAGAACACAGCCACGCTCGTGCCATTTATATATCACCTATGGCTGCTTTGTCACCAGGCAGTAGAGTTGAGCAGTTGCAACAGAGACCCTATAACTGGCAGGGCCCTTTGCAGGAAAAGTTTGCAGCCCCCTGCAGTAAGTATTAGTGAGTAGGAGACAACATAGTAAGTTACAACCCAGTAATCAGTGATTATACTTCATAGTGAAATTATACAGCTCACAGATGACTCAGTGGCCACAGGGATTAACAGAATATGTAAAACAGACTTAGTTTAATTTCTTCCTCCCAAATAAGAGAGATGACATTAGTCAAAACAATGTATCATATGCTAAATCTTCAAAACAGAACAATTAGATGTGATTAACCATATTACAAGAGTGCTTTAACTAGTGACTTCTTCTGGCTAAAATATGGCTGAGTTTATTGTTTTTTAAATTTCTCTACCTACAACTCTCCAAAACCAATCTACCAACCAATGCAAGGCCCACCTATGTTTTACAAAACAAAGGGCAGAGTGATTTCAACATTTTTCAAAGTTTTTTATAAAAAGAAAAATAAAGCTTTTGAAGCCCATGGAGGTTTAGCCCTTTTGCCAGAATGTGCCTCTCTAGTCATATCAGAAATAAACTTACATGGACTACAGAAATTATTGAATCTTTCCGTTGTAATCTGAAAATGGTTTGGCCACTAGTTAATTGAGTTAATGTTCTAATGAAAAAGAAATCTTTCCTTCCAATGACCTATGAGACCAAGGAAATTGATACTTCTGTTGTTTCTCTCTCTCAGTAAGTAACCTCTCGGCTGCGAGTGAAAGAAACCCAACTCAACCCGGATTAAAAAGCAAATGAAATTTATGGGCTCTCATCACTAGAAAGTCAAACTGGTTTCAAATAAAGTTTGTTTCAAGGCTCTCCCTTGGCTTAGCCTTCTTGGCCTGGCCACATAGTCAGCATTCCAACATCACATCCCCTAGCCCAGAGTAGAGATATTTGTTCAGTAGCAACCCTGTGTGTCTTGGAATTTGTTCTCTTTCATTGGCTCAAATGGATTCACATGCTCTATTAGTCAGCTTTTGCCAGGTTATGCTGCAGTAACAACCAAGCCCCTAATTTCAGTGGCTTTCAATGGCAAAGACTTTTTTTTTCCTCATTCATGCTGTAAGTCAGCTATAAATTGGCTGTAGCTTACCCATGTGGCATCTACCTGCTGATATCTAGAGAAAAGCAGCAGTCCGTTCAATAAGGGCATGCAATTCTAGTTGCAGAGAGAAAATAGTGCCATGGCGAACCATGCCGTGGCCCCTACAGCTTCTTCTCAGTCACGATTTACATCACATCGATTCTCCTTCCATTCACTAAAGCAAGTCACAGAGCAAAGGACACAATTGTGTAATTCTTTTACAGGAAGATAGAATAAATAATTGAGGAAATAATGCAGTCTGCCACCTACTGCCATCCCTGAACCAACATGGTCAAGGAGCTAGACCATGTTGACTTGGCCTTTTCAGTTGCCTTTCTCCAAATCACATAGTCTTGAACTTAGGCAGGATTGTTCCCCCAAAGCAAAATTGGGGTGTGTAAGCAGATAAGGGAGAATAGTCACTGAATAGAAAAAAAAATCTCTGAAAGTTCTTTGTAATCAAATAATCACATTATTAATCCAGTAACATAATTTTAAAGGATTCTGAAATAAAAATCTTTAATATCAATATTATTAGGTTGTGAATAAAGTTTAAGTGGAGGAAATCTATTTTGGTATCAATCAGTTTCCAAAACTTACAGCTCTAGTAAAAACTGTATACTCCAAATTTCAAGGGTAAGTATGCTATAAAATTTGAAGCAAAAAGAAAAGCCCTTTACTGAGATATATATTGTCTGTATTAAACATACCAGTCATCTTCACGCAGTGTATACCATATCACTAATGAAATCAAGCAAGGGGAATTTAATTCTAAAATATAGCACATATCTGATTTTAATTATGTCCATCATACCCAAAATTAAAATGTGCAGATGCAGTCATACATTCTAAATAGGGAACAACTTTTTCCAAAGCCT